AAAGTGACAGACACGCTTAAACTGTCTTTCATTAGCCTAGAATGATCGACGAACTACCGCCTACAAACTACATCAATGTTTTAAAAAAAGTGTATTTGGATGCCACATAATCATCTGGATACCTCTTTATTCATTATCTTCTGGTTATTACGAGCAATATAGATGCTCACATTTCCTATATATATTTGTTCCGTACCTTAGTCCGGATGTAAGAAAAGACAAACATACAATTCAACAAGTCGTCCGAAATAAGCCTTATAGTGAGCTCAACAAGTATAAATTTGCCCCGGAAAAAAGAACGTAACCCAATTATGACAGATTAAACAACTTTTCGACGATGCTCCGAATAATATACCAACTAAGAAGTTGATTTCAGCATAGTTGCCTTCAGGTCCTCAAATTTCCAATTTTTAAGTCTGAGAAAATACTTAATCTCAGGTATTCCTGGAACCACCCGTAGCAGCCTGTTATTAAAAGGAAGTGATAGCAGCCACTTTTAATTTTTGGAATATAAACCATATTCTACCTTGGCATCTAAAATCTAGTCGAACTCAAACATCACACGACCAATTTTAACGTGGTCACAACACATCAATTTGAAGATAAAGGTGCCATTAGAAAAGGTAGCTGGTGTGACCCTCTAAGCATCGTATAGCTGATATTAACCTTATGTAATTATGGCTCTATAGCTAAAACACCATTCTTAATTGCTGATACTTTGTTAAATAACTCCGAATTCTTACTTTAGAGCGTTCGAAATAGATAGATCATTATATTTTTAACAACTCACTTGTATGTGTAAGAAACTATAAATAAGACGAAAATTTGGTCGTTAATAGGGACTATGTAAGGTTTCAGTTATCCTTTCAAGCAGAATATTTCAGGTCCTTACAAACTAGTGAATTGTAAGATCTTGTGCTCTTATTTACCTGTAAACCTTCTCTTTTTGTGTTGACTGTAGGGTCCGATCGAGTTCCTTATAATAATTACATCTCGAAATTTGTTGTTCTAAGTTCTTGAAACGTAGTGACTACAAGCTAAAATAATTCCCCGGCTAAGGTGTGTATATTACCAAGTGTAGGAATTATCCAGCGATTAGTATTGCTTGTAGTCAGCCCTTTCCCTGATACTGTAAGAATTTTTTTAGTGAAGATAGGAAACCTTCTCACCTCCCAAAAGACTTGCGCTCAGATTTTGATCGGAATACCACCATGATAGGCCCCTACAAGGCCAAACTAGTTCGGCGCAAGGATCGAACCTTCTATACGCACGTCTAAAAACGCTTTTTTGGACTTCGAATCCACGTTTTTATGACAAGGCATGACCATGTGGCATCGGCTATGCCGACTCGCTATGTACATACAGCTAGCTGGTAATGAGTGTTTGGCTTGTCCGCTCGTCCCGAGCGTTAGGTCTTCAAGGGGAAATCGGAAAATGAAACAAATCCTCTCCTCTAGTTTCGAGAAGTGAAAATCGCGAAGGTCGCCATTTTTTGCTTAAGAGCAGCACAAAAGCTAATGTCCACTTCCAATTCGGCAGTAGGATCAGAAAATGGGCCTTGACATAACATACGTTTGTAGAAGCAGCGTTTCTCCGTATGATATTTTAAAAAAAGGAATTGTCTCAATTTTTCGCACCGCTAAAGCAGGCAAAACAAGTGCACTCACGCTTTTTGACTCTCCAAAAAGGTTGATAAAATGGTCGTAATTTGTCCGGAGTTCAAGATCTATCTTTTAAGCTTTGCAATTGGATGCCTTTTGCAGACGAAGAATGAGTGGTCTTCTTGAAAAAAAAAAATGATCCGCACTGGGGCTGATAGGACGGAGGTGTTTTGGGTCCATCCAAAAAAAGTGAGGAGAAGAAGAAAATTTAATTTAATGCTGATTTTAACTTCAGCGCAGCTTATTAAGGTGCCTGTGATCATCGTACGGATGCACTTCACAGTCCTGGGCCCATGGACATCAGCTACTCTGAAGGTGAAAAGGCTGAGCTTGAAGCTGTGGTACAGCAACTTGAATCCGTGGATGTTCACCTTGCAAGAGCACAAAACGCCTCCATATCGGCTTAAAACTCTGTGTCAGTATTGGTCGCCCAGCCCGGAGTCTTCCCAGAACGTGGGCATGAAGTGAAAATTGTAGAATTCTCGCTGGCGTCGGACAACCTACTGGAAAAAACTGGAATCTGTTGAATCTCTAGGTGGTAGATATGCTTTATGTTAGCCTCGTAAGGCTACTTTCAAATAACCACGGACTTTGTACGCAAGCCAAGATGATTTTTTATGTCAGCAAAAGTGAACAGCTTCAGAGGGCCATGGCCGATTTCAATCGACCCAAAGAAATCACATAATTATGTCTGAAGTATGAAACGTAAAAATAATTGGCATTTTGCTGAAGAGCTAAAAGTACAAGAAGGTAATTTCAGCACCGCGTGCTAAGATATATAACACGTGCCATCACTCATAAAATTATTTGTACTCAAGTACTAAGGTGTCAGACTTCGACAGTGACCGTTTTATTTGATAAAATTTGGACTCTATTAATATTTTAATTTTCGGTGTGCTTGTCTGAAACATAATGACCCATGGAATGAAGGCAGGTCGAATACCAAAGGCGCAACGTAATCTGCTACTGGAGAAGCTTTGGTGAGTCATGTACCACCTCATCTAGAATTAAAAGTCACTTTTTAAGATATACACTGGATGAGACGATCAGTGGATTAGACATTAAAATGTCAGACCTTTACTTTCTTAGAATGTCAAATGACTTAACTCTTATTTGTATCTTATCGACTACTTGAAAAACGGCCGTTTAGAGAAAGGCTCTGTAATGCCGAGATACTAACTGTAATGCATAATGGTTAGTATCATCTTACAAGCAAAGGCATTAAAGCTATGCCGAACCGATTAACGTGCAATGGCACGTAGTCCAATATATAATAAGTACGGGTCAATTTGTGCCACATCTCATTTAACTAATGCCATCGGCTTTCAAAAGATCCGAATAAAGTTAAATAGTCTAAATAATGTAGAAAGGTGGTTACAATCCGATTGATATGCTCATTCTTTCTACGTCAGAGACCCTATATAGATGGTGCGATGCACAAATGGTATGTTCTGTTACAAAGTAAAGAAAGCAAAACACATGTCAATCTCGTAACGGAGGGCTAGTGATTTTAACATGGATTTGGAGGTATCTACCCTCTCTTCTTTATTGGGTCATTTCACGATGGACGAGACGTCTGAGTAGGTGTTTTCAATAGAACTTAACTGTTGGTGATCTATCCGAAATAGAGGCCATTAGACTTTGTTTTGAATTTCAAAAAACCTTTTTGTAAAAGAAATGTTCTAAACCTACAAAAATTGGCACTTAGTGCATGTAATGAATTGTCTATTTATAAAAACCCTTACGATTGCTACAATCCTATAGTTCACGAATGTCGAAACTCGTTTCATGACCATCCATCTATTTACCTCAAGACGTAGATTTGCGCCGTGAACTTTTTTTCTCCTAATACCAAATCACGTGTAACACAGCAAAGAACTTCTTCTAAGGAACGGTGCGGCATTGTCGATGAGTTAACTAGTGTGAAGTGATCGGCAAGTGTATTTTTAAAAAGTCTATCCTCACACTCTACACTTAAGCTTCTTCTTGATGCATCTGATGAAAAGTGACTCCTGGTCGATGCTTTATATAAAATTTGTGCTGCCACTATTCTATCACAAGCGCCAATTACTCAAAATGGTTTTCTTTACAGATCGGCATGGGTCAACTGGCAATTGTCTGTGTGTAAAGCAGACGTGATGACCACTACATTCGTCGACATGTATTCGCATCACTTTCTTCTTACAAATCGACACTCTTCACAATCTGGTCTACCTTATCGCAAACCATCACCGAACGAAGAACAACACCAGAAGTCAGGTTGCTCTTGCATTCCGTTAATTTGCATCTTGCGTTTGCGACCGCCATTACTAAACGCTAGCTCAAGCAGTAACTCATATTCTTTGACAAGTGAGTTTTTGCCGACGCTACTGGTGACGGCCTTGTCATTTGAAGTATACATCAATGGAGCCCAGTATTTTCGAACCTCCCAAATGTGAGTCGAAGTGTGGAATATCCGGGAGCTCGCACTGGTTGTAGTGACGTGTAAATGCAACCGTCTTCCGAAGACGAGTACCAAAATTTCGTCGTTGTCATGTATGTGCTATGATTTTCTTTTCATGTGCGTGGTAACCGCCTATCTCTTTCCTGTATCCAGCTTAGAACCGAGACTTGCCAGGCTAATGTGCCATGGATTAATCCTGTACCGATTCTTGACGAGATGTATCAGGTTTGACGTCTAACTATTGCGTGACTGCTTTATCGTGTGCCTCAATTTCACGTACCCACGCCGCGAGCTCTTGTGGGTTGCGAGAGAACTGGAGTAGCTGCTCGCTTATCGTTGTTAGATTTAACTAGGTTGCGGAGCTGATGAGAAGAAGAAGATGGCTTACGGCCTGGGATGAAAACTGAAAAGTGAGTTGTATTCAAATTGTTCCTAGCTTCGAAAACGAATGGCTAGTAGTAGCCGGTGGCTCTCAGCCACTTATTTCGTGCCCTGTCTCCACCGCTTTCTGTTTTACCTATCACTGGGTAATTACGTCCCGTAAATACTTTTCGTAAAAACTCTGCTGTGTCATATGCAGAATGAAAACGATTGCGTGGGTGGGGGGCGTAACTGCGGGCGGGTCACAGTTCCGGTGAACCCCAAGCACCAGGTCGTGAGTGTCAGTCACAATTAACTTGTTCACGGCGGGGATCGAACCCGTACTCACCCGCGTGGAATCCCCCTTCCCAAACGACTGAACCAATCCGATGTCTTTTCGTTTCGAACAACATCCCACAATATAAACCTGCCAAAGAACAATACAACTAATGCAAATATGCAATATACGCCCTGCACAAGTCGCCGCATCATCACTCGCTAACACTCTCCCTTGATGTGCGTGCGACGTGTGCGCCCTACACCGCCATGCACATACCCGTGATGAACTTGCTGTGCTTGTCTCTTGGAAGTGCCTTGGTGAATCCATCCGCAACCATCTGTTCTGTCGGCTTGAACTCTAGCGCGATCACTGCACTTGCAACCTTTTCACGCAAAAAGTTAAACTTGATGTCGATGTGCTTCGTGCACGAGTGCTACACAGGGTTCTTGGCCAGCGCGATGCAACCTTGATTGTCTTAAGAAAAATCGTCGTCGCGTTCTTGGCACAGTAGTTCAGGTCCTTGAGCAGACCTCGAAGCCAAATTGCTTCCTGTGTCGCGCTGTACAGACTCATGTACTGTGCTTCAGTACTTGAGGTCGCGACCGTTGGTTGATGCTTCAAATTCCACCATACAACGCTTCCGTTCAGGAAGAAAACGTATCCTGTTGTCGAACGCCGCGTGTCGAGGTCGCCAGCCCAGTTTGCATCCGCGAATCCGATCAGCTCTCCATTGTTGATGCCGCTGAACACGATGCTAAAGTCTCGAGTCGTCTTGAGATATTTGAGAATCCGCTTTGCTACTGTCCAATGCGACTTGTCGTAGCGCTCGCAAAACTTCGCAACTTCGCCAACCGCATGCGCAATGTCCGGTCGTGTACATGTGGCGATGTACATTAAAGCGCCCACCAGCTCACGGTATGGTTACTTTGGTAAAAACGCTTCCTCTTGACCCAACTTGATCAGCTTCGAGTTACTGTCCGCCGGCGTGTGCACGTCCTTGCAGTTCTCAACGCCGAACTTCTCCGAAAGTCGCTTGATGTACGCCTTCTGGTTCACCTTGATCGTTCCATCTTCGCGTTTGCGATGGATCTCGATCCCGAGGCAGTACTTGAGATCTCCAAGATCTTTAGTGCTGAAATCTTCCATCAATGAGTTCTTGATACTTGCGATGTGCTCCTTCGTCTTGCAGAAAATCAATAAGTCGTCCACGTAGATCACGATGATGCTGTACTCCTCTCTTGTCACTCGAACGAACACACACGGGTCCGCTGCACTGCTCTTGAACCCTTGATCACCCAGGTGCTGACTCAACTTGTTGTTCCACTGCCGCGCCGCTGGCTTCGTCCCGTATAGCGCCTTCTGCAGCAAACACTTCTTTTTCGGGCTTCCTTCATCTTCAAAACCGTCAGGTTGGTCCATGTAGATCTCCTCTTCCACTTCGCCGTAGAGAAACGCTGTGTCGACATCAACGTTTTCTGCTTCCAGGTCTTCAGCTGTAGCGATCGCCAACACTGTGTTGATAGATTCCTTGCGCGCCACTGGTGCAAAGGTCTCGTTGTAGTCGATGCCAGGACTCTGCGTGAACCCTTTCGCAACCAAGCAGGCCTTGAATTTGATGATCTCGCCACTTGGATCGCGTTCAATCTTGAAGAACCACTTGCAGCCTACGGCCTTTTTGCCCGGTGGCATGTCCACTAGCTTCCATGTGCTGTGTTCTTCAAGCGACTTCATCTCACTCTTCATTGCCTGCAGCCACTGCTCCTTGTAGCTGCTCTTCATCACTTCTTGACATCTGGACGCTTGTTCCCCATCTTCTCCAGCCGAGAAACAGTAAAAAGAGTCGAAGTCACCTTCGTAGTCGTCCAAATTGAAGCGACCGCGACGATGACTTGGAAATTCTTGTTCGTAGCGAACCACGCCGGGCTTCTTCCGAACCGGTCGCACCATCCACTCTTCTTCTCCATTTCTTCCGGGTGTGCTGGATGCGCGCATGGGAATGGTGTCGCTTGGTCGATCACTTGGTCCGGGATGAGAGCTGTTCTGCGCTCGAAGTGGTGGGGTGCGCAGCTCTTCTTCGGTCACCGGCGCTGGTTTGTCTTCATCATCGGGTAGCGACGCCTCCAAACTTTTCTCTTCTTCAATGACATCGAACACCCGAGTGTCTCTGCTTTTCGATGCTTTCGAGACAGACTGCTCAGTGAACGTGACGCTTCTTGAAATCACGATTGAGCCATCGTCCGCGTTAAGAAACCGATACGCCTTTTGGTCCTTCGCATAGCCGAGAAAGAAACATCACATGCCTGATTCGTCCAGCTTCTTCCTCTTCTCCTTCGCCACATGTGCATAGCATTGCGCACCAAACACGCGCATGTGATCGATGCGCGGAACCTTCTTGAACACCATCTCGTGTGGGCTTGAGTTCTTGTTCGACGCGCTCGGCAGACTGTTTCTGATGTCTGTCGCTGCCATTAGTGCCTCGCACCAGTACGACTTGTCGAGACCGCTTTCCTTGAGCATGCAGCGCGTCATCTCCACCAGCGTGCGGTTCATTCGCTCCGCCATCCCGTTCTGCTCTGGGTTGTACGAACCCGCGAACTCTTGCTTAATGAACTTTGCCAACCGCTTGAACGCACTCGCAACGTCGCTCTTCTTTCGCAACGGATAGACCGTTACATACCTGCTCTTCATCATGATGAAGGTTACGGCGTAACTGAAACCAGACTTGGACGCTGGCGTGATAGGTTTCAAGAACGTCGGAGCACACCACCACGTCGGAACGCGAACTCTCCCTGGTTTCAGCGTCTTCTTCGCTTGTCTTGAATGACTTGCGCACTTGCTTTGACGTTGCGCATACGTCACACGCAACGTTCGTCTTCATCGTTACGCCCTTGATCCTTCCGTCCTTGACCATACCATACGACACGTGACCCAGTCTTCTATGCCATAGCTCTGTATCGTCTTCGGCCATGTAGCTCTCCAGACCATAGTCAGCATTGAGATACAGGAGGAACCCCTGCTTCCTTCCTGTTGCGACGGTTGTGCCGCCTCGCTTCACCACGCACTCGTTGCGCAATAATTCCACTGTCATGCCGCGCGCTGCCGCAACCGTGAGCGAAAGCAGGTTCTTGGACAGATCTTGGACGTGAAGTGTGTTCTCAAGTCGAGCGTCGATCCATGCATGTCCTGTCCAGACGCGCAGCTTCACTGTCCCATGTCCAATGACATTCAGCTTCACGTCGCTCTTTGCGCTTGAAATGCTTCGCGCATGATGCACTTCTTCGTACTCTTCGAACGCATCTCGATCCTTGCACATGTGTGCTGACGCGCCACTTTCCATGACCCAGCTGTTGCTCGCGAAACCTTCGCTGACATTAAACGCGACATTCGAATGGTCATGCTGTTGATACCTTGGCCCTCGACCGGCGCGACAATCTCTGGCGTAGTGTCCGACCTTGCCACAGTTGTAGCAGGTACCTGATGGTCCCTTCGCGCTCCGTCCTTGTTGCTTCTTCGGGTACTGCTTACCTTTCCTCTTGCCTGCGTAGAGCGCCGTTGCATCTTCTGCCCGTGCAGCCTCATTCTGGCGCACTTCTTCGGCGATCAACTTGCTCACGAGGTCACTAAAACTGAAGCTTGCGACGGACATTCGGAATGCCTGTACCAAGCTCTCGAAGCTTGAAGGTAGACTTCGCAATAGTACTGCGCACACGTCCTCTTCGCTTGGACCGCAGTTCGCGCGCTTCATCTTCATCACGAGGTCATCCAGCTCCATTACATAACCGCTCATGCTTGATGCTGCATACTTGAACGAGGCGAATTTTTCCTTCAGCAAAGTCAATTCACCATGTCATGACTGTGATGAAATCGCGCCAGACGTCCCCACGCTTCTCTTGCGGTAGCCGAGTCGATGACATGCATCAACTGCGAATCGCTCAGATTCAGCACGATCGCGGCGTGGGCTTGCTGTTCCTTGGCCTCACTTGTTGTCTCATCGCCCGCGATCGCGCCCCACAGTCCCTTCGACATCAGGTATATCTTCATCTTGTAACTCCACAACCCATAATTCGAGCCGTCGAAAGGCTCGACCTCGAAACCGGAGTCGTTCTTTGGGCTCATAACCTGTTAGAACTTACCAGGTTGCAGAGCTGATGAGAAGAAGAAGATGGCTTACGGCCTGGGATGAAAACTGAAAAGTGAGTTGTATTCAAATTGTTCCTAGCTTCGAAAACGAATGGCTAGTAGTAGCCGGTGGCTCTCAGCCACTTATTTCGTGCCCTGTCTCCACCGCTTTCTGTTTTACCTATCACTGGGTAATTACGTCCCGTAAATACTTTTCGTAAAAACTCTGCTGTGTCAAATGCAGAATGAAAACGATTGCGTGGGTGGGGGCGTATCTGCGGGCGGGTCACAGTTCTGGTGAACCACAAGCACCATGTCGTGAGTGTCAGTCACAATTAACTTGTTCACGGCGGGGATCGAACACGCACTCATTCGCGTAGAATCCCAATTCCCAAACGACTGAGCCAATCCGATGACTTGTCTTTTACTTGCATCCAACAATGTAAACCTGCCAAAGAACAATACAACTGATACAAATATGCAATATACACCCTGCGCAAGTCGCCGCGTTATCACTCGCTAACAATCGTCCTGTGTGTACGAGGCACTTTTCTCGTCTATTGTGTTATCACTGATCTAACTCCCGGTCCGACGTTCATGACAAACCGCCTGCGTGACAAGTGTGCCAGTTTGTCGCGCCCATGGTTGTTAAAGGATATGGCTGAGGCCGCGAAGTGTGATGAGAGAGTGAGGTGTATTGCGCGGTCGTGTCGTCGTTTGGAAAGACACGATGGCCGAGTGGTCTAAGGCGGTGGTTTTAGGCACCAGTCTTCGGGCGTGGGTTCGAATCCCACTCGTGTCAACCTTTATCCCGTTCCTCACATTTATTCTCTACCTGGGCGATTTACAACCAAATCAAGACGCAAACACCGGACTAGTAACCGTGCGGATGCTTACAGGTATAACCACAAAAGTGGTGTGCTGGCGACATAACTCCGGTGTCGTGCCGACACCATACTTTGAATCACTATGACAGTCGAGCCGAAGCGTAAAAAGACATCGGGGGAACAGAAAAGATCCGTGGTACCTCACGTCATTTCGTATGAGCAGTGGAGGATTGATCACTTTGTGGGTCGCAAAATACATGCACTGAAGCGTTTTAGTCTTGTGGACTCGTTCTGTTTGGGAAGGCCACGAAAGCAACAACCAAAGGTTGTGATAAACATCGACCAAAAACTTACGACTTTGGCACAGAGGCGGAGATACTGCTAATGGTGTGACGTCTCCAGGTCGCGTTACCCGCATTAACGTATACCTCTCTGGTGACATAACAATCAGTATTCGGTATGTATAATACGCTTGCGTGCATTACTCGGACCTCTTTCATTTTGATAGGTCACGGTATGATGTATGCTTCGTAGTAGGAAGGATAGTGCAAGAAACTATTCAGCGTTCTTCTTGAGCTTCCTTTTAATCGTCCACCTTATCGTATATCTTCAACGTAAACTTGAAAGCGTAAGGCTTGGTGAAGTTACCTGGTCTGATGTCATATATCAGCTGACTCGAAGGGATGCCACATGTCGTGGCGCACGCAAGGCGCGTAAGAAACTCTGGGAGTTGTGCCCTTGTTGATTGTGCCAGCGCTGTACATCAAGGACCTTGTACTACAACAGGAGCACGAAGATCGTGCATTCGTCGCAATAGTATAATCTCCTTTGATGCGATTTTTACACAACGAACTTGAAAGCTGTAATAATGTTCATCGTCGAGCTTCAAATCACATTCCGGCTCAGCGCGGCTGGCCGAGTTTGTTGTTCGTATTGATGTGGCCATCTTTGTACAAAACCTGCTTCGAGTTTATGAAGTATGTGATTTTATGAACTGTTCAGATCATCTCTGGCGTAGAAGTGGATGTTGAGGTAGCCAAAACCAAAAGAAAGTAAGACAATGGCACCGTTAGACTCGGTGGTAAACAAGCGATGAATGATGAATTGTACGAAGGACGCATTTCGATATACTTCCGCGACTAGTTCCAGATATAGTAACTACGGATGCAGCATGCCCAGTGACGCAGCACGCCCACACGAATGTATTCGAGGTAAAAGTTGTGTATGTGACAGATGATGCTAAAATTGGCTGAAGTAGGCTCGTGATGTCTTAGTATGATTTTTGCTTCAAGTGTGTGAAGTCCCGCCTTAACTTCCCATTAACGTCCTTCTTTGTCCGCGTTCGCCAGGTTGATGTTAGGTGCCTTGTCAGTCGTGTCCTGCATCTTAGCAGTCATGAGCTGCGTGGTTGCAACCGATATGTTGCCTAAAACGCCAGCTGGTCTCGGGTCGTCTTGAGCACGCGTGTTGTACGGCTCCGCCTGTCACCAAGCGAAAGCCTGTAGCTAAGATTTTCCATCGACTACATCCCTGGCAACTCATTACTAAAAGTGTGCGGTGATGTGTTCGTGCACATTTTGCTGGTTGACGATGGACGTTGCAGCTACGCATGCAAGATGTGTAGTGCACATTGCTGAACATTGCTAACACTTTTGCAAGCAAATCACGCGGAGACAGCAATTCAACGAGGTGTGTCAGGGAGAATTTTGGTGTACAAATATATCGTTGTAACAGCTTAAACGACGCAATACTAGGAAGATCTTCGCCGCATGATCCTTAATCTGTTGAAGAGCTGAGATGAGATAATGTATCCGTGATGAACGTAGAAGATTGGTAAGTATTTGATACAGTCAGTCCGACGCTGCAGACGTAAAAGAGGGTGTCAACGGCCGGGTTCGAACCGGCGACCTTCTGCGTGTAAAGCAGACGTGATGACCACTACATTCGTCGACATGTGCTCGCATCACTTTCTTCTTACAAATCCACACTCTGCACATTCTGGTCTACCTTATCGCAAACCATTACTGAACGAAGAACAACACCAGAAGTCAGGTTGCTCTTGCATTCCGTTAATTTGCATCTTGCGTTTGCGACCGCCAATACTAAACGCTAGCTCAAGCAGTAACTCAACTTCTTTGACAAGTGAGTTTTTGCCGACGCTACTGGCGACGGCCTTGTCATTTGAAGTATACATCAATGGAGCCCAGTCTTTTCGAAGCTCTTAACTGTGTGTCGAAGTGTGGGATATCCGGGAGCTTGCACTGGTTGTAGTGACGTGTAAATGCAACCGTCTTCAGAAGACGAGTACCAAAATTTCGTCGTTGTAATGTATGTGCTACGATTTTCTTTTCATCTACGCGGTAATCGTCTCTCTCTTTTCTGTATCCAGCTTAGAGTAGGACCGAGACTTGCCAGGCTAATGTGCCATGGATTAATCCTGCAACGATTCTTGACGAGATGTATCGGGTTTGACGTTTGACGATTGCGTGACTGCTTTATCGTGTGCCTCAATTTCACGCACCCAAGCCTCGAGCTCTTGTGGGTGGTTGCGAGAGAACTGGAGTAGCTGCTCGCTTATCGTCCTGTGTGTATGAGGCTCTTTTCTCGTCTATTGTGTTATCACTGATCTAACTCCCGGTCCGACGTTCATGACAAACCGCCTGCGTGACAAGTGTGCCAGTTTGTCGCGCCCATGGTTGTAAAAGGATATGGCTGAAGCCGCGAAGTGTGATAAGAGAGTGAGGTGTATTGCGCGGTCGTGTCGTCGTTTGGGAAGACACGATGGCCGAGTGGTCTAAGGCGCTGGTTTTAGGCACCAGTCTTCGGTCGTGGGGTTCGAATCCCACTCGTGTCAACCTTTATCCCGTTCCTCACATTTATTCTCTACCTGGGCGATTTACAACCAAATCAAGACGCAAACACCGGACTAGTAACCGTGCGGATGCTTACAGGTATAACCACAAAAGTGGTGTGCTGGCGACGTAACTCTGGTGTCGTGCCGACACCATACTTTGAATCACTGTGACAGTCGAGCCCGAAGCGTAAAAAGACATCGGGGGAACAGAAAAGATCCGTGGTACCTCACGTCATTTCGTATGAGCAGTGGAGGATTGATCACTTTGTGGGTCGCAAAATACATGCACTGAAGCGTTTTAGTCTTGTGGACTCGTTCTGTTTGGGAAGGCCACGAAAGCAACAACCAAAGGTTGTGATAAACATCGACCAAAAACTTACGACTTTGGCACAGAGGCGGAGATACTGCTAATGGTGTGACGTCTCCAGGTCGCGTTACCCGCATTAACGTATACCTCTCTGGTGCCATAACAATCAGTATTCGGTATGTATAATACGCTTACGTGCATTACTCGGACCTCTTTCATTTTGATAGGTCACGGTATGATGTCTGCTTCGTAGTAGGAAGGATAGTGCAAGAAACTATTCAGCGTTCTTCTTGAGCTTCCTTTCAATCGGCCACCTTATCGTATATCTTCAACGTAAACTTGAAAGCGTAAGGCTTGGTGAAGCTACCTGGTCTGATGTCATATATCAGCTGACTCGAAGGGATGCCACATGTCGTGGCGCACGCAAGGCGCGTATGAAACTCTGGGAGTTGTGCCCTTGTTGATTGTGCCAGCGCTGTACATCAAGGACCTTGTACTACAACAGGAGCACGAAGATCGTGCATTCGTCGCAATAGTATAATCTCCTTTGATGCGATTTTTACACAACGAACTTGAAAGCTGTAATAATGTTCATCGTCGAGCTTCAAATCACATTCCAGCTCAGCGCGGCTGACCGAGTTTGTTGTTCGTATTGATGTGGCCATCTTTGTACAAAACCT